GGCTGCATGGCCCGGGACGAGGGCCGGTGCCAGCAGGACTCCAAGCCGCGCTCTCCCTCTGCCATCAGCCCTGTGGGCTGCAGCTCACCTTTACCCCAAGAACTGCCCAACCAATGGGTCTGGTTCCCAACAAGCAGGGCACACCCAGCACCAAGGCAGGGAGCGGCCATTCTTTCCCAGCCCTTCCCTCCCTGTTCCAGAAACCCTGGAGAAAGAGAGCGAGCGTGCAAGATTCAGCGGGACGAGTCCTGGATGCGGTGTTTTATTGAACGCTCGTGGATGGAAAACACTATGTACACAAGACAGCCAGCGTTTACTTCTTGGTCTCCTCCTCCTTGGAGAGGGTCTTGATGATTTCCTCCTTCTTGGCTTGCAGGCGTTCCTCACGGCGCTTACGAGCCTCCTTGGTCTTGGACCTGCGTGCTTCGGCCTGGTCACTGCAAGAAGTTAAGAGTTCGTGAATGCAGAGGGATCTCAAGAAAGCCTTTACCACCGGCCCTGCTCTCCTCTTGCTCCACGGGATCCCAGTGAGTGCAGCTGAAGTGAGCGCAGCTTGGCAGGCTTTGCTCCATCCGCAGCTCTAACTCTAACCTGGTCCCGCTCAGCCCCGAGCGAGGACCCCGGGCTCTGCCACCCTCCCTGCCCGGCGCTGCTGGGCGCTTGGTTCTGGCTGAGGAGGAGCCGCGATCCTGGCTCTGGGGGCTGCCCCGTTTGGGCTGGCTGGGGTCACGCACCTCTACTAGAGACCAAAGTTAAGATACAGGCTTTCTTTTTTACCAAGTACACAGCAGGATTTTGAAATCCATTGGCTCTTGTGCCTCCTCACCTCCCCTTGTCAATCATTTACTGATCCAAGTGGCTGGATCAGTAGATCTACCAGTTTAGAGCTGTACGAGCAACTAACATCTGCTCCGCCTGCAGTGGAACGCACAAAGCTCTGCCGGGATTACGTATTTCTCTGCTTCGAGCCAGCCCTACCCAGTTTTGGTTTGATTCTTCACCACGGCTCCAGATAGAGCCACCAGCGACAGAAGCCACCTGGAATTATCTGCCTGCAAAGTTACTTTTAAAAAAAAAAAATCAATTCCACAGCCTGCAAGACTAAAGCTTAAGAGTGAAGCAGCACTTACGCCAAGAGCTTCTTGCGAGCTTTATCTGCCTTGAGCTTGTGGATGTGCTCCATCAGGATCCGCTTGTTCTTGAACACATTACCCTTGACCTTCAGGTACAGGCTGTGATACCTAACAGAGCAGAACAGAACGGACTGTAAACGAGGCTGCCCGGGGAGATCAAACCACCGCGCAGCTTCCAGGCATCCCGCAGCCCTCCCGGTGCAGAGCAGCAACGTGCACAAGCGTGCTGTGCGGAGCAGGGTCACTCTGAAGCTGCCAGGATGACTCCAGAGCAGCTCTCCAGTGCCATGCTTCCTGGAGAGGATTTATTTTCACTGATCTGCACACCAAGGAGCTGGCTGCAGAAGCCGCATACAGCAAGAAAGTGGTATCTAAGTGTGTGGACACACAACCCGAAGTTGGGCATGGTGCGGCAGGCTTACATATGGCGGTCAATCTTCTTGGACTCCCTGTATCTGCGGAGCAGGCGCCTCAGAATTCGCATCCTTCTCATCCAGGTCACCTTCTCAGGCATACGAGCATTTGCCGTACCCTTTCTCTTACCTAGACAGGGAAAACAGGATGAGAATGAGGCCAAATTTCTGCAAGTTGAACAACGTGCTTTTGCTGGAGCATTTAATCCTTTTCTTTACTTCAAGAAGAAAACTACTGACATACAAACTGTGTATTTTTAGACTCTTGGAGATTGTTGCTCAATAGAAGCTTGTAGGTGGACCACGTACCATGGAAAACAGACATTTCTCCCATTCTCAGAGGGAAACCAGCACTTACCGATGCCCATGTGCCTGCCCTTCCGGCGGGCCAAGGTGTTCTTCCTGCATCGGGCACGAGAGTGAACGGTCACAGGTTTGCGGATGATCAGACCATCCTTAATCAGTTTCCTGATCTGCTGACCTACGGGAAGAAACTCTATGTTCAGCATCATATACACAATGAGGGGGCACATTAGGCAAGTACAGACTCCCATCCAGCTTGTATGAAAATGATCCAGCGCAAAGGACAAGCCAGACCTTCCCACAAAGCCCCCTCGTGCTGCTGTAGTTGCTCTTTTCCCCTCCCATTTCTCCCTCACTGGTTATCTCAGAGCACACCACGTACTAAACCCACTACCAAGAACTCGCCACGCACCACATCAGCACACTGGGCAGCTCCGTAAATCCTGCTGACAAGCTTATTTCCACTTTGAAGTGCAAAGCAGTTGCTCAAGTGTCAGAATTTTACCTAAGCCAACCTCATCACTACCGAGCTAGTCAAAAAGCCTCCTCCCGTTTCCCCGACACATCCCTCTTCCGGAGGGCAACCCAAGCGACGCGTAGCACGGCCGGGTCCGTGAGAGACGATCACTTACGGGAGTTGGCATTGGCGATCTCATTAGTTTCGTTGGGATCCAGCCAGACCTTCTTTTTGCCGCAGCGCAGG